GTTCATTGTGAAGCAACTCGGATTCTTCCTGGATTTCACCCCCATTCCCAAAGTTGACCCACCACGTTCATTGTGAAGCAACCTGGGATCTATAGCTTCCTAAGGAACATCCACACAGATGTCCAACCTTGACAACTTTTAAGATTTGTGTGGCCTTCAACTCCCAGAATTCCATTCTGGCTGGGGAATTCTGGGAGTTAAGTCCACAAGTCTTAAAAGTTTCCAGGATTGGATACTCCCTGGTTTAAAAAAATCAGGATGGTAAATGGAACTGAGTAAGTGAAGTCTCCCGGCTTTTTTTTAATGTGTGTCACTCGCCTAAAAAAGGAACAAGACCAAACAGAGCCACCACTGTGATTTTTGACCCCTGTGTGGTCATTCTTGCCTTCACCCACAGGTCTTCAGGATGGACCTTCTGCTTTGTTGAGAAGGCTACCTGCTTCTTAACATTTTTGAAAGCCTTTAACGTGCAGATGTTTGACTTAGATTGTAATTGTTTATAATTTTGTATGCGTATATGCACCTCTGTATTTTATTTTGGTTGATGTTTTTACTGTAAAGATCTATGTGGCTTTGGAAATTGGTGGAATAAAAAGTCTTCAATTTTTTAAAAAAACGAAATCTTGTTGGTTTTCCACAAAAGTCTAATCATAAAGAATATAGCCAGGTATTGTTGCTTATTGAATGATAAAAATTCGACAATTCCATTGATTGCTTGATATAATATATCAAGAAGGGAAGCAACCTAGAACTAAGGAGAAATTTTCTGATGTTTAGAACAATTAATCGATGGAATGACTTGCCTCCAGAAGTTGTGGATGCTCCAACACTGGAAATTTTTTAAAAAAAGACTGGATAACCATTTGTCTGAAATAGTATAGGGTTTCCTGCCTGAGTAGGGGGTTGGACTAGAAGACCTCCAAGGTCCCTTCCAACTCTGATATTCTGTTCTGTTCTATGTCTCCTTCAATGGGGACAAAACGTGTTGCAACCAAATCGCCAAGCTCGGAGCTCCAACCAAAAATGTAACTACCAACCCGAGCTACTAATTATACCTTGCTCAACAGTGGTGACTGTGAAAAGGACCTTGGAGTCCCAGTGAGGCAGCCATGCGCAGCAGCTGCCAAAAAAAGCCAACACAGTTCTAGGCTGCATCAACAGAGGGATAGAATCAAGATCACATGAAGTGTTAATAGCGCTTTATAAGGCCTTGGGAAGGCAACACTTGGAATACGGCATCCGGTTTTGGTTGCCACGATGTAAAAAGGATGCTGAGACTCTGGAAAGAGTGCAGAGAAGATCAACAAAGAGGATTAGGGGACTGGAAACTAAAACATACGAAGAACGGTTGCTGGAACTGGTTATATTGAGTCTGATGAAAAGAAGGACTGGGGAGACATGATAGCGGTCTTCTGATATCTCAGGGGCTGCCACAAAGACAAGGGGGTCAACTTATTCTCCAAAGCACCTGAAAGCAGGAGAAGAAGCAATGGTGGAAACTAATCAAGGAGAGAAGCAACTTAGAACTAAGGAGGAATTTCCTGACAGTGATAACAATGGATCGGTGGGACCACTTGCCTCCAGAAGTTGTAAATGCTCCAACACTGGAAGTTTTAAAGAAGAGATTGGATAACCCTTTGTCTGAAGTGGTGTAGGGTTTCCTGCCTAAGCAGGGAGTTGCACTAGAAGACCTCCAGGGTCCCTTTCCAGCTCTGTTATTCTATTCCAGTATTCAAAGACATTTTAATAACTTCACAATGCCCCACAGAACAAACTTTCACGGAAGTGGACTGGAGTTTGTTCTCAAAATTGCAGCCCACCTATGCAGTGAACTGCTTCCGAAATGGAACGATGGCTGCCCCAAATCAGTTTATAATATTACAACAAAAGGAGATTACGCTTAAGCTCTTACTAGCTACTTTAGGCTGGTTATGTTCTTACCGGCTGCGATTTTCAGCTCTGCGGAGAATAGAAGTCAATCCTATTTTCTAAATCTGGACCATCAACAAATAACAAACTATCCAAAGCCTTCGTGTGTCTAAAAATACAGACGTAACTGTTATTTTAGGAGAGAGAATTCATTATATCACTCCGTCCTCGCTGATCACGCTTGCGATAAACCATGGATTGAATCAGAAATAAATTAGGCTTTGTTCTCAAAAGCACAAACAGTAATTGGGTTTGATGTTTTCCTGCTGGTAATCTAAACACCTGTAAAATATATGAATTGTTTAGTTAATGTATACATTTCGCGAGACATATATATATATATATGTATACGTTGAGACTCTAGAAAGAGTGCAGAGGAAAGCAACAAAGATGATGGAAGCTAAAACGTGAAGAACGGTTGCAGGAACTGGGTATGTCTAGTTTAGTGAAGAGGAGGATTAGGGGTGGCACGATGGCAGTCTACCAATATTTGAGACAGATGCCTGGAATAATCTGTAATAAAATCAACACATTTTTGGCACACGGGATCCCTTGGCTTCTGCGGTATTGTATGGCTTTCATGGTTAAAAAGAAACCGGAAGATTTAGAAGGCAGGAATTTCAAACCTTGTTGACATAGTAAATTGGCTTCAGGCTTTCCTTTTCTTAAAAAATTGTGTTAGGGTGAAAAGGTAGCCCTCTTCTCTCTGGCCCTTATGATTTTGGCAAGTTGAACAGATTAACAGAATTGGAAGGGAACTGGTAGGCAGGGCTGGGCTGCGGGGGGTGCGCAGGGGTTCAGGGGAGCCCCTAGCTAACCTGTGCAGTTCAGAGAACGCCCACATCCCATTCCTGACTGTCTCACCCCACCCCTCCCCTCCCAGGAAGTCCTCCACACGGACCGTTTTGGATGCAGGTAAGTGCAGGGGGCTGCGGAGGCTCGGGAAGGGCGAAAAACAGGCCTCCCGGACAGTGGCGGGATTCAAATAATTTAACAACCGGTTCTACACCCCTAATGATTTCATCCAACAACCAGTTCATCCAACTGCTCAGAAAGTTAACAACCGGTTCTCCCGAACTGGTACAAACTGGCTGAATCCCACCACTGCTCCCAGAAGTTCGGGAAGGCCGGAAATGGGCCCGTTTCCAGCTTCCAGAGAGCCTTTGGAGACCTGGGAGGCCGTTTTCATCCTCCCAGAGGCTCGAGGAAAGCCTCCGGAGCCCAGGGAGAGCAAAAACACCTCCCCCACCGTAGTGCAGGAAGCGGACTACACCACACCCACCATGGCCACACCCACCAAGCAACCGGGCAGAGAACCTTTGCTAAAAATTTGGAAGCCCACCCCTGCTTGTGGGTCACCTCATCGAACCCCACACCCAAGCAGGGGACCTTCCACCATTTCTGACAGATGGCAGTCCAGTCTCTTCCTGAAAGCCTCCACAACTTCCAAGGGAAACTTTTGTTCCATGGGTTGATTGTTCTCCCTGTCAGAAAGTTTCTCTTTATTTCCAAGTTGAATTTCTCCTTGTTCAGTTTCCATCCATTATTCCTTGTCTGGCCTTTGGGGGCTTTAGAAAACGGGTTGACTCCCCCTTTTCTCTGTGGCAGACCCTCAAAGTTTGGAAGACTGCTATCCTGTCTCCCCTGGTCCCTCTTTTCACTTGAAAAGGGACACTGGGAATATGGTCCAAGATCTGTTTTAAGGGGGAGAGGGGCCGAATTTGGAACTCTCAAGTGTAAAGAGACCAAAGTTGAACCTGGCTAGCTCTTACAGGTAGTCCTCGACTTACGATCACAATTGAGCCCAAAATTTCTGTTACTATATGAGACATTTGTTGAGTTTTGCCACGTTTCATGAACTTTCCACGGTTATTAAGTGAATCGCTGCAGTTGTTAAGTTAGTAACGCGGTTGTTAAGGGGCTTCCCCATTGAGTTGGCTTGTCAGAAGATTGCCAAAGGGGAACACGTGACCCCGACCCCGGGACACTGCAACCGTCATAAATATGAGTCAATTGCCAAGCCTCTGAATTTTGATCACATCACCCTGCGGATGTTGCAATGGTCCTAAGTGTGAAAAACGGTCATAAGTCATTTTTTTCTAGTGCTGTTGTGTCTTTGAATGGTTGTAAGTCAAGGACTGCCTATGCTGTCTGAAACAGAATCCAAATGAGATCCACCATCCTTTGCAAGATCCAAAATATTCTAAGACAGGGTTTTCCATGACCCGAATTCCAGGAGAACTTGATGGGCCAAAATCATCATCGTCATCATTCAAACAACCATTTCTTTCTGCTTCTTGATCAAAGAAATTATTCACAGCTCAGGAGTGAAGTGTGATGTTCATGATGTCCTCTGAGCTTGGTTGTTTTCTTGCAGACGTTTCATGAGCCAACTAGATAACATCATCAGTGCTAGAAAGGGGGTGGGGTTTACTGTCTATTGATGTACTAGTTCAGGGGTCTTCAAACTTGGCAGTTTAAAACTTGTGGACTTCAACTCCCAGAATTCCTGAGCTAACATGACTGGAGAAGGAATTCTGGGAGTTGAAGTCCACAAGTCTTAAAGCTGTCAAGTTTGAAGACCCCTGTACTAGTTGCTTGCCCTATCAGTGTTGGTAGCAGAGTTCTTGGTGTTTCCTTGACTAGGTTGTTGTTTACCCTTTGATTGTTTATCTGAATTGGTACTGGGTTTCCCCCAAAATAAGACTCTTATCTTATATATATTTTTTGCCACCAAAGAAGGCACCAAGTCTTATTTTCAAGGGATGTCATCCACTGACTAACCTCACTTGCATGCATTGCCCCTGGCCTCCTTTTCACTGTCAGAGGCCTTAAGAAACTTCTTTTGGGGCCGGCAAGGCTTTCCTGAAGGCCTGATTGATCCAGAGCTCTGTTATCGCCTGCAGGGGCCTTCAGGAAAGCCTTGCCAGCTGCAGAAGAAAAGGGCCAGCAAGCCAGGTGTCATGTGTGTGCAATGCCTGGCTACAACTGTCCAAAGGTAAGTAGCAGAGCAGCTCCACTCCCCCATCCGCACCTTTGCTTAATTTTTACCCGTGCACCCTGGAGTGGGAGGGATCTTAATTAGAACTTATTTTGGGATAGGGCATATATTGGGCGCATGTGTTAAAATCAAGCTAGGACTTACTTTAAGGATAGGTCATTTTCGGAGAAACGGGGTATTTGATTGGGGTACATCTTGATTGTTGGTCTAGTGCTAATCTTCGTGTTAATCTCTGCTCATCTGGTTATTGATTGCTGATGAGAAGCATTTTGGTCCACTAAAGTTTTTGAAGATCACTTCTACCAACACTGACAAGGAAAAACCCAAGTACATAAACAGCAAACACCACTGCCTTCTATCACTGATGATATTACCCAGTTTGGGTGAATAGGATAAACCAGAACTGAGCTGATGTACGATGGCCCCCTCTGCACCTCCTGAACTGTTTAACTAGGTGAGGTGGGCAGCAAGCAAGTCGGATGGATGGATGGAGAGGAGGCAGACAGACCACAGATAGATAGATATGAGAGAGAGAGAGAGAGAGAGAGAGAGAGAGAGAGAGAGAGAGAGGCAGGCAGGTGATAATAGATACCATAGATCAATAGATATAGAAGATAATAGATAATGATAGATAGATCGATAGATATAGAG